ATGCTGCACCTCACGGAGCCGCGCCGGGTCCGCGCCGCCGCCGCCGCCGCCGGCCCGGTAGGTGCCTGGGCGCCGGGGGGGTATCGTGCTATTCAGGCGGGAAGTGGTCACGCGTGGACTCCCCTCCGACCCAGGCCAGGGCGGGCGCGGGGGCTCTGCCAGAGCGATGCCAGAGCCGTGCTGTCCACGTCTCTGGTGACGGCCGCCTTCGTGCCAGGCTTGGTTACTAATCGTCCCCGTTTCGTTGCTCTGGACGCTCAGGGCCGGGTGTCCTACGCCCTGACGATCGAAGGGAAGCCGTATACTGTGCACCTGAAGCAGCAGTAAGTCGCTCTGTCCCTGCCCCTTCGCCCGAGACAGGCCCGCTGTTTGGGAGAAACGGGCCCGGCTGGGTTCAGTGAAGCCTCTAGGCCTGGGTGACTTGTCTGGGGCCAGCGCAGCAGCAGGGCGCGCAGCAGCGTTAGTGGAAGGGAGCCGCGCGTGACAGCCCCCCAGCCGGCTGGCAGCAGCTTTCCAGTTGGAATGGAGAAGCGGAGCTGGGGGCAGAGAAAATTGCTGTGGTGCGTTGTTGAAACGAGTGAAAGTAGCTCTGTGTTTTGGGTGGTTGGTTTTTTGCTTCCAGGCTCTTCATCCCCAGCGAGTTCAGGATCTACACCTACAACATACAGGGGTCACTGCTGTCTGATTTCGCAGCTGTGAAGGTAAGATTGAAGGAGTGCCGGCTTGCAGCCGCTTCGCTTTTTCAGAAGGAACTTGCTAGGTGGGGATTTTGCTGCGCATGGAGTGTCTCCCCCAGCTTTTATTTTTTAGTGTTTGCTTTTTTTACTGATCCTGGAATTGCATCCTGCGAGGAAGCACGCTGCTCTCTACTGGAAATTAGCGAGTGGGATGAATTACTTGGAAGTGGCGTTTGTTCACCGATTGGTGACCTTTTCAGGAAAGGCACTTGCCGTGTTAACCTCCAAAATGGTGAATATGGGACAGTCCTCTCCTTTTCACCAGTGTCAAAGGGAAAGGCCAGGGTGGGAGAACTGTAGAGGCTCAAAGTGCTTCTCGATTGCAGACTGTCTCCAAACAGAGTGCTCCTCTAGGATTCAGCTCAGCAAGGCTGTTCAGGGCAAATGGTAGGGTCTGCAAGTAATGGTCCCTGAGCTGTAACGGGATCCATTGCCTAGCTAATGCTCTCTCTATCGGGATGTCATTCTGCGCAGTTGCTGGGCAATTTTCTGGCACCTGCTGGCATTGAAGGAGAGAGCATTTGGTGGGACTGGGGCCGAATTTTTTCTTGCTCTTTCTTTTGCTCTCTGTGGGTACATGAGGAGCGTGGCCTGGCAGGAAAGGGACATTAGGAAGAGTTCTGTCTTTGGTTGCCTCCACCTCACCTAGCCCTCATACAGATAGACCTTTTTTTAAGGATTGTGTTTGCATTTCTTGCCTCTCTGCACTCTAATCCTCTCTGGATGTTTTGTTCATAGATTTCATAGACATTCGGGCTGGAAGGGACCTCGGAAGATCATCAAGTCCAGCCCCCCATCCCAGGGGCAGAAAGTCAGCTGGGGTCATAGGATCCCAGCAAGAAAAACATCCAGATTTCTCTTAAAGGTGTTCAATGTAGATGCTTGAACCACCTCCGGCGGCAGGCTATTCCAGACCTTGGGGGCTCGGACAGTAAAGAAATTCTTCCTTATGTCCAGCCTGAAACGGTCTTGCAGGAGTTTATAACCATTCGACCTCGTCATCCCTTGGGGTGCTCTGGTGAACAAATGTTCCCCCAGATACTGGTGGTCACCCCTGATAAACTTATAGGTGGCCACCAGATTGCCCCTGAGCCTGCGCTTTTCCAGGCTCAAAAGTCCCATGGCTCTTAGCCTGTCGTCATAAGGTCTGTTTTCCTGATCTCCGATCACGCACATGGGTCTCCTCTCATGCTTCTCCACATCCTTTTTGAATTGTGGGGCCCAAAACTGGTTAAACACCATCAGGTTCTCGTCCGCCCATTTGCTGAGCCTGTCCAGGTCAGCCTGGATTGCCCTCCTGTCTTCTGGTGTGGATGCTTTGCCCCAAAGTTTGGTGTCATCAGCAAACTTGGCCAGTCTGCTTCTGACTCCAATGTCCACTCCAATGTCTGATTCCAATGTCCTGAAGATGTTGAACAATATGGGTCCAAGGACAGAGCCTGAGGGACCCCACTGGTCACAGGGCACCACGACGATCGACTTCCGTCAACTACCATCTCTGGGTCCGACCCCGGAGCCAATTCCCCAGCCAGCGGATCCGAGGCTGCAGTTGGCCTGTTTTGACAAAAGGTGATCATTGGATACCAGATGGAAGGCTTTTTTAAAGTGGAGATATATGACATCAATCTCTTGCCCCTTGTTCAGGTGATAGGTCACCTGGTTGTAAAAGGAAATGAGATTGGTCAAGAAAGACCTACCCGCAACAAACCTGTGCTGGCTATCCCTCAGGGTGTTGCCGTCGGCCAGTCCGTTAAGGATGGCTCCCTTGATGTTTTTTTCTAAGACCTTCCCCGGGATAGCGGTCAGGCTGATGGGCTTGTAGTTTGCCAGATCCGCTTTCCTCCCTTTCTTGAAGATCAGCACCACATTGGCTTTCTTCCAGTCTTCAGGCACTTCACCAGAGCACCAGGAGCTCTTGAAGATCTGTGCCAGGGGCTGGGCTATGATGCTCGCCAGCTCCTTGAGTACCCTGGGGTGTAAATTGTCAGGGCCGGCTGACTTGAAGGTGTCAAGCCTCTCAAGCTGTTTCTTCACAAGGTCAGCACTGATGGAGGTCAAGGAACCACCCTCGTTTAGGTGCCCTTGTCCCATAATGGGCAGGGGCATCCCATGGGACTTGTGAAAGTCTGACGCAAAGTACCCATTTAGCAAGTTGGCTTTTTCCTGGGTGTCAGTTGTCAGTTCTCCCTTTTGGTTTAGCAGGGGTCCAATGTTGCCCCTGCTTTTCCTCCGGCTCCCCACATATCTAAAAAATGACGTTTTATTGTCCTTGATACTTGTGACCAGTTAGAGTTCAGTTGCAGCCTTGGCTTTCCTGGTTCGCTTCCT